AATTTTAAAATATTTAAAATTTCTGATTGTATTATTTACTCAAATACAGTTTAATGATTTTTTACAGTTTGCATGCTTTTTGAGAAAGACTATTTTAAAATATGTGACCTTATTTTTTACTCAAATACAGTTCGTATGATTTTTTTCACTCTTGAATTTCTTTTTTTTTTCTTCCTTTACCAAAAAGTATTACTTTCTTTACAAAACTCTCCAAAAAGTATACAATTTGTATACTTTGTGAGAAAAACTATTTCAAAATAAATATTATTTATTTTGAAATAGTTTAATAGTAATAGTTTGAAATAGTTAATAGTATAACCTTATTTTTTACTCAAATACAGTTCGCATGATTTTTTTCACTCTCGAATTTCTCTTTTTTTTCTTTTTCGTCTCTTTCATTTATTATTAATTTTTTTTTGAACTTCTGAATGGTTGTTGTTGTTGTAGTTCATTTACGTCGCACTAGAGCTACACAATGGGCTATTGGCGACGGTCTGGGAACCATCCCTAAGGATGATCCGAAGACATGCCATCACAATTTTGATCCTCTACAGAAGGGATGACACCCCCGCTTCGGTAGTCCGACGACCTGAACGCGAAGTTGAGCACTTTACGGTAGAACAGTTTAACGAAGACCAATTCCGCACACCCACGATCCCTACGCAGACTGATCCGAGTGGTCACCCACCCGCATACTCGCCGCAGCCAGTGATGCTTGACTTCGGTGATCTGCTGGGAACCGTGTCTAAACGATCAGTTCACTGCGGGACATTTCTGAACGGAGTCCGGAATAAAGTGTTAAAACTTTTTTAATAAATGGACTAAGGAACTCCTTGACCGGCTTGCTTCGCTTATCAGTCACAACAATGTCTAGGCATTTTTTTTGTTTATTGGGCAATTGTTACGTTAAAAATAAAATTTATTCAATTAAAAGAATCCTATTTTTTTTATTTCATTACATTTCTGTAAAAATACTCAAGTTGTTCCTATCTTTAAATTAGGGTGATTGTTAGAAATCTCGGCGTCTTATAAAATGAAGCTTTTTATTAAAAAGAATATTACTTATGTAACTGGTGTGAGTTTGTAACAGTTATTAATGACTGTTCAGTTAAGTTCTGTCACTTTGCAATCAAACGTTCTATGTTTGTTAGAGAAAATTTAGTAAAATATTAATATGAAGAAAAAGTGTAATAATAAAAAGCATCTATTATTTATTTTTTTAGTTTTTGAAGTGCCCAACGCTGCACTATTTAGGCTCATATAAATGTTCAAAAATTCATAACTATTAATTGATTTGAATATTTTCCCTCTTAAGGAAAAAATATCATCAATGAGCCCCCTTTTTTTTTAACAAAAAGTTAAATAATTTTTTAAAAAGCTATTTTCCCGTTTAAGTCCTGATAATTCATAATTTAATGATTTTGATTTAGGTGGGAAAAATCTTATCAAGTTAGTGATTTTCATTAAAAGAAAATTGAACATATTTTTTAAATAACTTTTTTTCAACTTTTAAGTCCTGATAGTTTTTTCAGTAATGTATAATGTATACTTTATAATTATATACGGAGAAAAAATTATGGAAATATTACCGTAGAATCATAGGTTGCTTATCAGAAATATCATTACCGTACAGGTAATGATATTTCTGATAAGCAACCTATGATTCTGGTAAATAAAACCAAAATATACGGAATTTAAAACATTCATTTTGGCAATTTTTCCATGCATGAGGTAACGGTTTACCGTAAAGTCTGGTTTTCAGAACTATAATTCTTATTATAACACATTAAGTTGAAAATACAAAGTTAAAAAATAAATTTTACCGGCTAAATGGTTTTTATGTCATGTTTTAAGGTATCGTGATAAAATAACCAAATTGTACAACATTTACCAAATTTTATTACATATTATAGAACCATATTTTGTTGTTAATTTTACCAAAATCATTACCCAAGTGTCTCGGTTAAAAATACCGAACTTCTGGTGTTCCCACGGAATCAGAAGCATGAAAAATTTTACTATATTCTGCTAGGTATGGCCTTGCTTTTTTTTTTTCTCTGTATAGTTTTGCTTCAAACCCTCCAAGTTGAATTTTTTATTATTTTTCTTGATGAAATAGCATGAAAAATAACATGAAATTCATAAATTGCTTACCTCGAAATGCTTGTCATCAAAACATTAATTTGAAAATTTATTGTAGTAGCGTAATTTAAGCTTTTTTTCAAACTTCTCGTTGAAATTTAACTATTCCAAACCTATCATCAACATTAAACACCCAAGATTCAAAAGGCATCCCATCTCACAAAATCCGCTATCCCCTCAAATACTAACAATTACCTCAACCTACTGTCCAAATACCAAATAAAAATGATTATAATTTAGGAACCTTAATCGAATTCTATTAACCAAAAACGACTTTTCCCAACCATAAGCTTAATTAAATATAAAGGAAGGTACCAGGTCCGTAATTTTAATCTTCTCTCCCAATCTGCGAGATACTTTGTCCAGGCATGACAATAGTCTTAAGAAAGCCTACCTGATTCAAAACCCATCTATCATAAAACTAATATGCCGTCTGTGTCCCATGAAATCCGCCTCTCTAATAACCTCTCATTAGATATTGGTAGCCTATCCCTATACTGATTTCTGTAAGGTACCGACATCAGCTGCCTTTTTAAGGTACCACCTGCCTTACTTTTTTGTTCTCGATATCATAAAGCTCTTGAAGGGAGTTAATGTGCCATCTGAAGTAGGTGCTTTCTATCAGAGGCCCTTTTAACGAATTTTTTTCTCTCTCTCTTTATTTCGGATTTGTTTGTGGTTGCCGGAGTTTGTTGTCGGTGGAGGAGTGATGAAAAAAAAAAGAGGTAATTTATCTTGGAGGGCCTTAAGAGATTAATAAGGGGTGGCTCTTTTCTTCGAAATTGGAGAGTGGTGAGGCTGGGAAATTTTGTGCTGGAACTAATAAGAAAGTTTTTTTTTCCTTCTGAAAATTGGGCTTGCTGGTTTAAACTCAGCAGAATTAAATTATTTTTTTTGTTAGTGATATCTGGAATTTGTTCTTTTGAAAAAAAATTCCGTGAGAAAATATTTTAGATTTAAATAATAGGCTAAAATATTTGCTATGAGTTGAAAATTGGTATTTACCAGACTTTGCTGATTATCAATCAAAATTCATGTCACATAAATTGCAGGGTAGCTGGATAATGTGGCTGGTTACTGTATTTAACTATACTTACTGTTAAGTTAGTTAGACCTTTTTCTGTCTCAGAGATGTGCACTCCCCTGTATAACAGCAAACTCATTTTAAATTTTTTTTTAAAAAAAGTTCTGATCAAAAATATTTTGCTTATCACTGTATAATTTTGTGATGCAATTATGTGCATTACACATTTCTTAGCTTTTAAATTTCCTTTATTTCATAAACTTAATCATTTCTACTTCCTATTTAAATAAGTAAATTAATTAATTTTAAATCAATTATTTAAAGAGCGAAAGCAAATATGACTATTCTCAATAAATGTAACGGCTAACTTTCAATTTCAAATCAAGTATATAGTTAATTATTATTCAATGCCGCTACAACATCAAAATTTATTTTTAACCTTTCTTTCTTCAATCACATTGAGCATCAGCACATTAGGTTTACTTCAATTTCCTTCGAACTTTTTGGCCCCAAATCTTCAGTCAAATTATATAAATATTAACATGAGATATTGTGAGGTTGACTGAATTGTCTTTACTTTTGGCAGTGCTTTTCCCTTACAAATTTTAAACTGTATTTGGTGTTATTAGCCAATAATCAGTAAATTAAAAATTGTTTTTTGCTCATGTTGCATTTTTATTTATTCAGTAAGAGAAGATAAAGTAATCTTTTTCAGTTGCAACATAAAAAAAAGTGTTTCTCTAATTAACATTACTAATATATTTAGAAATGTTCTTCGATTTTTAGTTTTTTTAAAAATGAATATCAGTTTTCAATCTCTGAAATTATTCTAAAGCTCTGCACCAGTATTGTATTCTTAGAATCCTTATCAAAAATGAATAAGATCGTACAATGTAAATGAAGTCAAAACAAATTTTGCTTCAAATGTAACTTGAAAAAATGTTGTTTTAAAACATTACTAAAATATAAACTTCTTCATTAAATTTTAACTTCTTAGAATTAATTATATACTTCTTAGACAAAAATATAAACTTATATAAACTTCACTTATATATTATAAATATTCTTCGAGTCTGAACTTAACAAAATAAATTACAACGTTTTAAATTTCTAGAATCAATCCAACTGTTCGGAATTCTCGTATTCTTAGAATTTGTCCGGAAATGAATAAATAATAACTTAGCATCGTGAAAGTAACAAATGGATATTTAATTACAAAATTCAGAATTCAGAAAACTACTGAATCCAACAGCTGCAGTAATGTAGATTTCAGCCAACTGATTATAACCTAGAAATTTCAAACTTGTTAGTGGCAATCATTGCTGACTCTCTTCTTAACTATTCTTTCGAATGAAAAACAATAGACTTGACGTTTCATTGGACGAATAATTGCTTTTGATGAATTTGTACTGATTGATCTTTACAAATTTCCCCAAATTTTGATTGTATTATTCCCCATAATATAAATATGGGATAAATATAGAAACTTCAGTTTTGATAAGGATTTAGGAATATAAATTTAGGGATAATTTTTAAGCAAATCTGTAAAAACTATTTTGCGTTAGTAGCGTAAAAGTTATTTGAAATATTAATGCTTATTTTACTTTTTGTGTCTGTTTTTCTTGGAATACAAAAGTTCTTTGCGTAACATTATTTTTAATGTAACGGGATAAAATTGATAAAAACATTGCCTTTCTGATAGAAAAAAAGGCGCGTTTAAAAGTTAAAAAAAAGTTCAAACTCTAGCTTTGTAAACATTTTTTATTACTATCACCAATACAAATTTTACTGTTGTAGCATTTATAAAAGTACCAAGTTACTTGAATATTATATGTATGTGATTATTTCAAATGGATGTTTCTTTTATGCGACACCTTCAACAACACATCTACCATTGTGACAAATCTGAAAAAATTAAATTAATCAGTACAAAGCTAAAACATTCTAATATAAATTTCAACCAATTTATAACAAAATTTATGTATTTAAATACAAAGATACGATTTCAAGTAAAACTCATCCAACTCGAAAAAGAAGTTACTCTATGAAAAAATTTTGAATCAGGTTGAACCATAATATGAAAACATTTACCACAGTATTTACATATTTAAATACTGATGCAGTGTAAAAAACTTTGGTGTATAGTTAAGTTGTCACAAATTTTGGTGTTTAGGCGAACTTAAAATTTTTACAGTGCATGTAGTCACATATTTTATTTACTTTCGCGACGTTAAAATTTTATTTATTATTATTTCCATTATTATTATTTTCATTATTATTATTTTCATTATTATTGTTTCCATTATTATTATTTCTATTATTTATATTGCTTTAAAATTTACTTATAGCTTCGTTGCAAAAATATTTCAAAAAAACTTTTCTTAAAAAACAAGCACATTTTAANCATGTAGTCACATATTTTATTTACTTTCGCGCCGTTAAAATTTTATTTATTATTATTTCCATTATTATTATTTTCATTATTATTATTTCTATTATTTATATTGCGTTGAAATTTACTTATAGCTTCGTTGCAAAAATATTTTAAAAAAACTTTTCTTAAAAAACAAGCACATTTTAACAAAATATGTTTGCTTTAATTCATTCAAACAATTGTTATTTTGTCAAATTTTTATACCTTTTTGCATGATAACTACAGTTCTGTACTTTAAAATGTAATTACTTTACCCCAACGCCAAAAATTATGGCAAATACACACTAAAATGTTTCACAATGTATATTTTCAAGTCAAATTTATCCAATGTAATGCAAAATTCCAATATGGGCAGTGTTAAACCAGTATTTGAACAAATTTACCTCAAAATTTACGTATTTAAATACCAAGATATTTTTTCAAGCCAATCTCATCTAAATCAAAAAAGAAGTTGCAGTGTTATTAAATTTGGATCGTATTGAACCAATTTACCACAATATTTTTACATATTTAAATACAAATCTATATTTTCGAGTGAAATTTATCCTACTAAAAAAAAAAAGTTACACGGTTAGAAAACTTTGATCGTTTTGAATAATAATATATCTAAAATTTGCTGAAACCTTAATACAATATTATTACAATAATAATATAATGTTAATACAATAATAATACAATATTATTACAATAATAATACAATATTAATATTAATACAATATTATTACAATAATAACATAATGTTAATACAATATTAGTAATTGTAGTAAAATAATAATATCAATTTACTGCAAATTTAAGATTGATTTCTACATAAAAATAACTTGATTACGTGATAAATTGGTTTAGCTTGAAAGTAAACTTAGATCAGTTTATTATCTTAAGGCTGTGATTTTGACCCCGTTCAAGGTACCTACAATATGTGATGAATAAACTTAAGAAACAAGTTGAAACGGACATACTGGATTTATGAAGTATCATGAAATATTGAGATTTTATCCACGGATTTTACGCGAAGCAATTTACATATCAAATACTATAATTCTGCAGAAATTTAAAGGTAATCTAAATCAATGCATATCTTTGCAATTGCATTCTATAGAACCATTCATTTCTAATTAATTCAATATCTATAGCCTGTTTTAAGTGTGTCATTGTTCAGGTAATTTACATATGCGCTATTAGTTATAATCTACGACATTTGTCAAACTTAATACTGCTGAAGGTTCGTTAAATTCAGTGCAGAAATCTGATTTGAAAACGCACAGCGTGTTCCTTATGCTAGCATAATTCTTAAGTGGATTTGTGCGTGTAATACTAGTTTTATTTAAAAAATTGCATTGAAAAATAAGTTTACATTTAATGATTTGAGTAAAGGGATTGAATAATGTGGATGGATTATAAAGATCAGCAGAATTTATATCGGATATTTGTATCTAAAACAATGGGAGATGGTATGAGTATTAGTTGTTATATTAGGAAAGAAAATAGACATAGGAGAATGTACAATTGATTCAAGATGCATTAAATGTTTACATGTTCTTACCCCAAGATCATAAGCTCCAACTTGAAAACATGGCAGACCATTTCTAGAATTTAAAACTTCTACTTCATTTTGATAAGTACAATGAACTTTACAGTCATTTTGATAATCCTGAAAATATAATAAAAAACATAAAAACTTTAAAGTGAAACTATGTTTTAAATTTTTAACTATATCATGTGCGTAATGAAGAAATATAATGTAACTTTTATTTTGTTTTCTTCAACGTGTTAAAATTCTAATCACATAAAGTTACATACAGATGCTGGGGAAATTTTAAAAAAAGATACCGAAAAATTTACTTCTGAATGATGTTTGAAATGTCATGAAATTTGTTATAAGAATAGATAATGAAAATTAGTGAACAAGAATGCATAAGAATTATTGTTTCAGTTTCCTAAGTGGTTTCGATATTACTTATCTAGTTGGTAAACACTAAAATATACTGAAAAAAAGTTCCATTTCTAACTGGGAGTTAACAAAAGCGAGAGGAAAAATGTTCTTCAATAACCATGTTTGGTAAGACAAAAATAACATACACTATTCAAAATATTGTTGCAAGTTCAATTTTAATGTGTTTAAAATTATCTGAAATCATATCTGACGCTTAGAGAAACCATATTATCGTGCAAATCTCTGGTCTTCCGCAATTGCTGGCTCAATGGGAGGATATTTGACATATTAACATGGATGAATCATCTACCCAAGTTATACATTTGAGACAATAACTTTCACTTCGCAGCTGAATAAAACAAACAAAAGACTAGGATACTTCTTTTTTACATATATATATATAACCGTCGTTGAACAGCCGACCCGATTTTCGAGTTTACGACTACGAATGTTCAACTCCGTAGCCTTGTAATTTTGAACCCAATCCAGCAGACAAGGGAACTCCTTGATCAAGCATTGAGAGAAATTTGCTTCCGTGGAGGACTTTTTGACGGAACTATAACCCGCATTTGCGTTACATGGAGAGGAAGACCACAGGAACCTCCCACGGTTCGCCTGACGGCAAGGGGACTCTAACCCATGATCCGTTTACCACTGAGGATATTTCACGTCAGCACGGTGGTCGGTGCAAGCCGGATGTATCGGCCAGCCATCGCCGGAATCGAACCCTTATTCACGTCATTGGAAGACGAACGCGCTGTTCTCTGAGCCATCACGGCTCTTTGGAGACTTCTAGTCAAAATATCAAATATTGGGTTTTGATTTGCTTGAAAAGGAAAGCCATAGTAATTTTTCAGTTACCCTGGTGGCAATGGGTTTTTAACCAATCTTTGACAGAAATTTGAGTCCGAACTGTGGTCATTGTAGGCTATGAACATCACACGCATCACTCGAACACTGCCGGAATTTGAGCTTGTCACAATCCAGCTTCCTATGCCTAGTGCAATTTCGAACTTCGTGGTTACGTTCGCTTGTTTATTTGACAAACTTTATACACTATAAAATATTCCGGGTCAAATAACTGCATAAAGGGCTGGCAACCCGAATGCCGGTACTACTTTTTATCGTGATTTGTTTCAGAATTCCTTACAGTGTACTAAATTAGAAAAAATTAGGCGGAATGTGGAGCAAGCATAGGCGCTAATTTATTTTAAGTTTTACATGTAATTTATTTTAAGTTTTATTTGTATATTTATATATAAGTATAGGTGTAAATAAAAAATAAATATGCATATATTTATAAAATTTAAAACAAACGAGTAGTTTTCTGAAAATCGAAAGCGTGCCCTCTTCTACCTCTACGTCTGTTAGCAAGATTTTTAAAATCTTTTCAAAGAAATGGTATAAAGTACTAAGCAATAGATTATAAATTAAATGCAAAAAAAAATCAAGTATGCTGATTTATTTATACGATTACACCAATTTGGTAACATTGCGAGTCGTTAATTTTTTTTTAAAAATGAGTAAAGATAGGCACGTTTTTGTTTGAAACGTATTCTGAAAAAATCTATATTTTTTACTAAAGATAGTAATGTTTTTTTCTTTCAGAAATGAGGAATTTCAAAAATTGCAGATGAAAATCGTGCAAAGCTTACCTTATAAGCAGAAAGAAGTTGTCTACCGATAGATACAGAATTGCATAAACTCTTTTCAGATGTTCCAAGATCATCCAAAATCAATCTGTTGGAAAACTGGTAATACTTAGTTTTATCATCTAATGGAGTAATAACATCTTTTAAAATATCACTCGGGAAATGCTCACTGTCGAGAGCGCTTATTGCACTGCAAAAGTCACTGCAGGATGGTTGATAGGACTCGTCTCCAGTAATTTTTTTAAACATGTCTTTAATGTTCTGAAGGCTCTCAACAAAATCATCTACGTAATCGAAATCGGCAATATCTTTGTCCTTTCCACCCAATTCCAGCAAAAATTTGGATATCTTTGATTTTTTGTTCATGCAAATACTCGGTTTCTGAAATATGTCCTTCACCATAGCGACTTTATTTGGCACTTCAGACTCGTTTTGCTCCAAGTCAATAACCATTTTGTTTAAGTCTTTGACGAATCCATCCTTGCTATCTCCACCCAAGTCTTTCAAAGAATCGGTGATTTTTCTAAAATAGGTTCCGAGATTCTCGTTCAAATCGTGCCTGGGAAGGAAATTAGACAGCTCTCCGATGAATGGCATTTCGGTATTGCCTCCTAAGGACGATATCCAGTCGGTAAATTTTGAGAAATCTTCCATCGAGCTTCCGTCTCCGTCGATGTTTGATACAAAATTCTCCAGAAGATCTACGTTTGATAAATCGCTTCCTCTACCACCTAATGTAAGAACCCAATTTGACAGTTTCGTTTTCTCTTGAATCGGCATGCTCACTTTTTCAAAAATTTCCTTAACAATTTTTAATTTGTTTGGAATGACGTTTTCATTTCCATCAATTCCAGAAATTAAATGTCCTAGCTCTTCATCAAATGATGCATCTTTGCCTTTAATTGATTCGGAAATTTTTCTAAGGTATGACAAAATATCTCCGTTCTTATCAAAGCTAGTGACGTATTTCGAGTAGTCTACAAGTGTTTTATTGGTTCCTTTATCCTTATTATTTTTGGGGAAAATCAAATTAGACAAGTCTTTAAAACTTGGAATTAGACTACTTTTATCGCTCCAGTCTGAAATATATTTTGAAATATTCTCGATATTTGATATATCAGTGTCTTCACCTCCTAAGCCTAAAATTCTTTTTGCAAAATCCATTTTATTTTGAATAGACATTTTGGATTTTCCGAAGATTTTTTTCAAGAGGTTAAGTTTGTTTGGCATTTTATCTCCGAGTCCATTAACTTTGTTCATCAAATTGGTTAAATCTCCAACAAAAGACATGTCAATACCTTTTCCACCCAAATTTTTGAATGAATCAGTAATTTTTCTGAGGTAGGAACCAAGATTCCCATTGAAATCAAAGCTAGGAATAAAATTGGTCAGGTCACCAACGAATGGCATTTCGATATTTCCTCCTAAACCTGATATCCACTCTGTCAGCTTGGAGAAATCCGTTAGTGAGTTTCCATTTCCTCCGATGTTAGATATAAATTTTTGCAAAATATCCATATTTGGCAAATCCATGCCTTTTTGTCCTAAACTAAGTATCCACTTGGCTAGTTTTATCTTCATTTGAATATCCATGTCTACCAGACCAAATATTTTTTTCATAATATTTAATTTATTTGGCATGTTTTCTTCATTTCCATCCATTCCTGAGATAAGATTACCGATTTCTCCAACAAATGGCAAGTTTTTCCCTCCTGAACCTTTTATTGATTCTGAAATTTTTTCCAAGTAAGATCCAAGTTTTCCCTTCATGTCAAAATTTGGGATGTATTTGGAAAAGTCTCCCACAAATGGTTTGCCGGTGTCTTTTTCACCTATTCCTGGAATCCATTTAGATAAATCCTTGAAATCTGGAATTAAACTCTTTTTATCGTCCCAGGTAGAAATAAACTTGGATATTTTTTCAATGTTTGGTATATCTTTGTCTTCCCCTCCTAAATCAGAGATTCGTTTTGCAAGATCTATTTTGTCTTGAATAGATATTTTAGACTTTCCGAAGATATCTTTTAGAAGGTTAAGTTTATTTGGCATTTTATCTCCCATTTCATTTACTTTCTTCTTCATGTCGGTTAAATCTCCTTCAAAAGAAATGTCAGTTCCTTTTCCGCCTAAATTTTTGAAAGAATCAGTAATCTTTCCTAGGTAGGAACCAAGATTTCCACTGATATCAAAGCTCGGGATGAAATTGGTCAGGTCACCAACGAATGGCATTTCCATATTTCCTCCTAAACCTGATACCCACTCTGTCAGCTTGGAGAAATCCGTTAGTGAGTTTTCATTTCCTCCGATGTTAGATATAAATTTTTGCAAAATATCCATATTTGGCAAATCCATGCCTTTTTGTCCTAGACTAAGTATCCACTTGGCTAGTTTTATCTTCATTTGAATATCCATGTCTACCAGACCAAATATTTTTTTCATAATATTTAACTTATTTGGCATATTTCCATCATTTTCTTCGATTCCAGATATAAGATTATTGATTTCTCCGACGAATGGTAAGTTTTTTCCACCTAAATCTTTTATTGATTCTGGAATTTTTTTCAAGTATGATCCAAGATTTCCCTTCATGTCAAAATTCGGGATGTATTTGGAGAAGTCTCCCACAAATGGTTTGCCGATGTCTTTTTCACCTATACCTGGAATCCATTTAGATAAATCCTTGAAATCTGGAATTAAACTCTTTTTATCATCCCAGGTAGAAATAAACTTGGATATTTTTTCGATATTTGGTATATCTTTGTCTCCCCCTCCTAAATTAGAGATTCGTTTTGCAAGATCTATTTTGTTTTGAATAGATATTTTAGACTTTCCAAAGATATCTTTTAGAAGGTTAAGTTTATTTGGCATTTTATCACCCATTTCATTTACTTTCTTCTTCATGTCGGTTAAATCTTCTTCAAAAGAAATGTCAGTACCTTTTCCACCTAAATTTTTGAAAGAATCAGTAATTTTTCCGAGATAGGAACCAAGATTTCCACTGAAATCAAAGCTCGGGATGAAGTTGGTCAGGTCACCAACGAATGGCATTTCGATATTTCCTCCTAAACCTGATACCCACTCGGACAGCTTAGAGAAATCCCCAAGTGAGTTTCCATTTCCTCCGATGTTAGATATAAATTTGTGCATAATATCCATATTTGGCAAATCCATGCCTTTTTTTCCTAAGCTAAGTATCCACTTTGCTAATTTTATTTTCATTTGAATATCCATGTTTACCAGACCAAATATTTTTTTCATAATATTTAATTTATTTGGCATATTTCCTCCGTTTTCACCAATTCCAGATATAAGATTATTGATATCTCCGACGAATGGTAAATCATTTCCACCTAACTCTTTTATCGATTTTGAAATTTTTTCTAAGTAAGATCCAAGATTTCCTTTCATGTCAAAATTTGGAATGTATTTAGAGAAATCTCCCACAAACGGTATGTCGATACCCTTTTCGCCTGTACCTGGAATCCATTTAGATAAATCCTTGAAATCTGGAATCAAACTCTTTTTATCATCAAAGGTAGAAATAAACTTCGATATTTTTTCGATACTTGATATATCTTTGTCTTCTCCTCCTAAGTTAGAGACTCTTTTTGCTAGATCAATTTTATTTTGAATCGAAATCTTAGATTTTCCGAAAATTAGTTTTAGAAGTTTGAGTTTGTTTGGCATTCTGTCCCCAATTTCGTTAACTTTCTTCATCAGGTTCTTCAAATCTCCAACGAAAGACATGTCTATACCTTTTCCATCCAAATTTTTGAAAGAATCAGTCATTTTTCCAAGGTAGGAACCGAAATTTCCACTGAAATCAAAGCTTGGGATAAAATTGGTCAGATCTCCAATGAATGGAATATCAATATTACCTCCTAAGCCTGATATCCACTCCGTCATCTTGGAGAAATCTGCAAGTGAGTTCCCGTTACCGCCGATGTTAGATATAAATTTGTGCATAATATCCATATTCGGCAAATCCATGCCTTTTTGTCCTAAACTAAATATCCACTTGGCTAGCTTTATCTTCATTTGAATATCCATGTTTACCAAACTAAATATTTTTTTCATAATATTTAATTTATTTGGCATGTTTCCTTCATTCCCGCCGATTCCAGAAATAAGAGTCCCGATTTCTCCGACAAATGGCAAGTCTTTCCCACCTGAACCTTTTATCGATTCTGCAATTTTTTCTAAGTATAATCCAAGATTTCCTTTCATATCAAAATTCGGAATGAATTTGGAGAAGTCTCCTACAAATGGTATATCGATGCCTTTTCCCCCTACACCTGGAATCCATTTAGATAAATCCTTGAAATCTGGAATTAAACTCTTTTTATCGTCCCAGCTTGAAATGACCTTTGCTATTTGGTCGATATTCGAAACATCTTTGTCTTGGCCCCCTAGGCCAAATATTCTTTTTGCAAATTCTATTTTGTTTTGAATGGACATTTTACTCGAGCCAAAAATTGATTTCATGAGTTTCATCTTATTCGGCATTTTGTTACCTAGAACGTTGACATTTTTCATTAAGTTGTTTAAGTCCCCAACCATAGACGCGTCCAGGCCATTTTCAGTCATTCCTTTCAAGGATTCGCTGATTTTTCCTAAGTAGGACCCTAGGTTTCCACCAATCTCAAATTTAGGAAAAAATGCATTAAATTCGCCTATTTTTGGAATCGTGATTATATCTTTACCTGGTATTATGTCCCATAGTTTACCAAGTTTAGATTTTGCCTCATCTTTACCTTTTGTTACCGGATCCTTTGTAAAAATATCACGAAAAAAACCGGATTCTGCCACAACCTATAACAATAAATCGTATATTAGTGATCTGAAGTCTGTTTATAAATTGGAGTCATAGATATAAGTTTTGAGACTCTGGATTAGATTTATATTTTGTTACCTTGTATGCTACAAACTTCATTTATCTCCTTTCTTAATATGTCCCTTTTAAACAATTGAGCAATTTTTCTAAGCATTTTTTGAATCTAAATTTATCCTGTTTTCTTTAATTTAATTCTATCTTTTAGCATTGAGGTTATTATTAAGTTTTCTTGGTATTTGCCAATATGTATCAAAACGTAATTCTTTATAGTAATACAATTTTAGTGTTCTAAGTGTTATTTTGAAAATATATTTTTACCGATGGATTTACATAGCGCTTTAATAGAATGATAATGCAAATTATAAGTAGTGTAAACAAATAGTTAAATAGAAATTTCATGTCGCACTCTACTTTAAATTATGAGAATATCGACCCTAAAATTTCAAATCGCTACAACATTAACTGAATAGAACTAGAAGGTGAAAATTTATAACAAATTTATATTTTACTGGCACATTTCTGCTAATGTCGGCTTTGTGACGCTGGTTACAGGACTTAACGTTTCAATCTAATACATAAGCTTCATAAATTTAAATTAGCCTCTTGTCTCAAAACAGTCAGTTTGAAATTATTATTGTAAAAATTGGGCATAATCTAGCGTGTATAAAGCCAAATTTGCACATGTAATTTGCAAAATTTTTATATTGTCACAGTTTTATTTATTTTATTTTGAATGCTGAAATAAATTCCGGTCAAATTTGAAACCAAGTTACCCGAATTTTTGAAGATGCATAAAATTATATTTAAAAATCTGCTGATGTTGTAAATATCTACATTGACTGCTATAGTTCTGTAAAAATTCTTCCATCGGGACTGTAGCTTACAAGCACAAAGTGGTATGACGAAAATTGCTTATTTTGCAGGTATCTTTTCCCTTTTAAACTTGAATTCTTTAAACTCTATGTATCCATTGTTAACTATTTTCAGTTTTAGTAATTTCATAGCCGTATGAACTTTAACTGTAAAACATGCTTCGTGATTTTTATTATTTATTTGATTATAGTGGACATAATGGTTATTACCATTTAATGGATGTTTCTGAAATCAAAACTGCAAATAACAGTTCTTTAGAGAAATATGTTTATAAATTATGCACATAAGAAATATTCTACAGGGATTATTGATGATAGTTATTGCATTAGAAAAAATGTATTGCAAAAATTTTAAAAAAATTATATAGTGATATATTTACTAGTAGAGGAAAAATGAGCGCTGCACCCTACTTTTAGGGTTCATGACCTCTCTTACTATAGTGCTATGGCAGAAGCACTTCATCCCACTTCTCGTCTACAGGATGAGCGTTGCACTTCTTCAATACGGATGAGAGTTCAACCCCCACTGATAAGCTCTTAGTAGAGATTACGTAGCACTGTTTGGACTAAACAAATGCTGCTTAAAAATTCTGGGTATTTATTTCTGCACAACTATGGGTATATTTGAAAAATTTGGCTCTAAGATTTTAATTTAAGACAAAATTCAAATGAATTCCTCTTTGCAAATAATTATAAAATGTTTCCAAAGTGTTCTACATTACGTTAACCATCGTCGTATCGTTTAGAGTAAAAAAAAGCTTCTTAAAAATTTTTTAGTATTTATTTCTTACTATTTATGGATATTTTTGAAAAATTTGACGCTAGCTTTGTAATCTGAAACAAGATCTAAATAAATTTCTCATTGGAAAAAGTTTAAAAAAATTTGCAAAGTGTTCACTTTTATTTCTATATGTAAGCTCTCAATATAGCATTATTTGGACTAAAAACGGCTTCTTAAAAATTTGGAGTTCATATTTTTCGACATATGCGGGAATTTTTGAAGGAATTGATGCTAATTTTTTTTAATTTTAATCAAGTACCGAATGAGTTTCTCATTGCAAAAAAATTTCAAAAAATTCGCAAATTGTCATCTTTTTTGTTAATTATGCATATGCTCTTAACACATCATTGTTTGGAGTAAACAAAATCTTCTTGAAACCTTTGTTTGCTTATTTCTTGACACATATGGATACTTTTGGAAAAATTGACACTCACTTTGTAATTTGGAACAAGTTTCAAATTATTTCCACATAGCAAAAAATTATAAGAAATTCGCAATATATCCTTCATTATGTTGACTATATTAATGCTTTTCACATAGCATGGTTTGGACTAAACATATGATTCTTAAAAATTTTGGGTTTTTATTTTTTCACATCTATGAGTATTTTTTGAAAAATTTGAGTCTTACTTTGCAATCTTTAACAAGTTTCAAAATGAAATTTTCATTGCAAAAAATTATAAAAAAATTCACAAAATGTCCTCTTTTATTTTTATACGTATGCTCATAACGTAACATTGTTTGAACTATAAATTGCTTGTTAAAAATTTTGAGTACTTATTTCTTGACACATATGGGTAAAAGTGACGCTAACTTTAACGTGAGTGAACAAATCCTTCTTAAAAAATTTTAGTACTTATTTCTTAAAATATATTGGTATTTTTGAAAAAAGAAAAAGACAATCACTTGGTAATTTGAAATAAGATTCAAATGAATTCCTCGTAGCAAAAAATTATAAAAATTTCTCAAAGTGCCATCTATTATGTTAACTAGATATTTAACGGTGTTAATTATATATTATATTACGTTAACTATATATATCATGTTATTTTAATTGCATTAACGCTATTAATATAGCATGGTTTGAACTGAACAAATGCTTCTTAAAAATTTTGAGTATATATTTCTTAGCTTTGATGTGTATTTTTAAAAAATTTGACGCTTGTAATTTGAAACAAGTTTCAAATCATTGTAAATAATAATTTACTCATTGCAAAACATTATTAAAAATTCAAAAAGTGTTTTGCATTATGTTAACCATATTCATGCTCTTAATGTGGCATGATTTAGATGGTGGCATGATCGAGAAAGTGCCGAATGTTTAAAAATTACCCATAGAAGTGAAGAAACAAATTCTCAAAATTTTTATGAAGCATTTGTTTAGTTCAAACCATGCTACGTTATCCGTACTAAAAACTTATCAGTGGGATTAGAGTGTCATCCATACTGAGGAAGTGAGGAATAGCGCTCATCCTATATCCCTATAGTAAGAGCCATCAATCCTTAAAGTGGGGTTTAGCGCTCATTTCTCCCCTACTTGTACAACTTAATTCTTGTAATACAAATCTAAATATACGGTATTTAAACCATTCACTTAATAATTTTACCATTCTTATGGCAACGACTTACTGGAAATTCTAATTTTACCAATTACAGTTCTTATTACCACACACTATTACTATATAAAACTCAAAAGTAAATTAAACCGAATACATAGTTTTCATGCTATGCTCTAAGTTATCATAATTAAAATTATCAAATTTTCCATATTTATCGAACTTTATCACATAATATAATATCATACTTTATGGTTAATTTTACCAAAAGTCATTATGAAAGTGCTTCCATAGAAATTACTGAGCTTTTTGGTGTTCCCGTACAGTCAGAAACACGGTAAATTTTATCATATTCTGACACGGTAAATTTTCCATATTCTTCTTACCATTTACCATGTTCTTTTGATCTTACTTTTTTTCTCATTGTATAAATAGAGATTATTTAGTATAATTTTAGATTATGCAAAATGCGAACGTTAAATTTAAGACAGTTTAGTTTTAATTAATCTAGTGCTAATTTTCAATTTTAATTTTCTAATTTTTTTAAATGAAACAGTACATATCAAGGTATGTTTACAGCACCAAATCTTTCCAAAGACAGTTTGACAGTTTGAAAGCTAAAATTAAGGTATCTCTAATCGTTAGGTGATTATTACGTAATAATCACCTGAACACCTAGAAGGTTTCATAAGTTTGGATGCCAGGTGTGAAAAAAGTAATCAAAAGTAATCAAAAGTAATATACATGAGAGTAATAGATTTTCGAGGTATGAGTAACATTTTTTTTAAACAGCATAAATTCCTTTTAGAGTTTATGAGGTAATTTATTTTTGGAGTAAAAAAAATTAAAAATTTGAGCAAACTTAAGTAAAAATAAATTTTCAAAGGAATATTATAGCAATAAATAAATAAATAAATAAGTAAATGGTCTTTTAAACTTACGGCACAGGCCAGCAAAATAATTGCAAATTTTAGATCCATTGGTGGAATGTATTAGAAGTACATTCCAACTCAAATTGCACTGATTCGAAATTTTTTCAGCTTTATATCCAAAGCATTTCTATGAAGTTAATGATTACGTAATAATCACCTGAACACCTAGAAGGTTTCATAAGTTTGGATGCCAGGTGTGAAAAAAGCAGTCAAAAATATTTTTATAAATCAAAACAAAATGGCACAATGGAACAATAAATGTGTTCTACAAAAACCTTCGTAATTAAGTGCATAATTGTACGTTCGTCATTAAGTAATTTGATGTAAACAGCTGGTTTTTAATACAAATAATACAAAGAATTGTTAATTGCTTTTATTGTGACATTAACTAATTGACAAGTCTTATAGCTTATACGGTTGCTTGGGCATTAGTTTAATATTTTATGTTAATATCAACTAAAAATAAATAACTTTAATTTTGAACTTGTGTTGCTTTCTTCATTTAATCAATTTAAATTATTTTTTAGAAATTTGTAAATTTTTCTCTTTTGGAAACATATTTAAGAGTGTTATTGTAGCATTCTATAAGCGTACTATATTTTTTTTAAAGAAATCTTCTGCGAAATATTTTATGAAAATAAATTGAAATATGTAATTTTAAAAAAAATTAGTATGTTTTTTTAATGTAATTGAAAATAATATAATCAAATTTTTTGATTTATTTTTCATTTAAAGTATCCTACTCTTAATGTTTCTTCAGCTTCTTTTTGCTAGTAGCATTTACAAAAATTTCAACTTCTAATTCTATAAGAGCAGCATTTATCGATTTTTTTGAAATTATGCAACAAAACTGAAAAAAAGTTTTCAATTTTCTAACACAAATTAAACTGTTTAAAATCTGTAGCATTATGAATTTTTTTTAACTTATTAGAAACTTCGAGAACTTCAGCTCCTCTACGAACGTCAGTGTGGGGAGAAACTGTTAAAAGCAAAAAAAGAATAAAATTAAAATGTTTGAAGACATTGTTTTAATTCGAAAAATGTGGTAGAAACTATCATGGAGAAAAAACATTTAACACTTCAGCTTCTCAATGAAATAAGAGGTGAGGAAAGACTGCTAAAAGCAATGAAAAAAATTAAAATTTTTAATAACATTGATAGAATTTGAAAATGGGGGAAAATTATCATGGGGGGGGGAATACGTTGCAAACTTCAATTCCTCTATGAAATTCAGTATGAGAGAAAAGCAGGAAAGAATAAAATTAAAAGTTTTAGAAACATTGTTTTAATTTAAAAAATTGGGAAAAATTATCATGGGCATAAAAAAACACCGAGAACTATTGTTCTTCTCTGAAATTCAATGTGAGAACGAAACTGCTAAAAGATACTTTCCTTATCTTTATAAATATAAAACAAAGTTAAGTCTTCTATTACAAATTTTTTACAAACTCATTTAGTGCGGAAGTTGTCTCGTTTTCAATTATTAACGTTTAAAAAAATTCCATTTTATTTCAATTATTAAAAAAAATGAAATAATTTTGTTTTTTAAAAACGTTGTTTTTATTGAAATAAGTTAGGAAAATTTTGTAATTCGTTTTGTCTAACTCAAAGTATATTTCTTTTAAAACATAAGGGAAAACAAGAATTTATAACTACGACGAATATGAAATCCGATTTTCATATTCTTAATTACTTTTTTAAAGAACTATTTATGAAAAAAGAGAATTTGATTTCATAAAAACTTTTATTTTCATAGAATATATTCAGCAAAATTTAAGGAGTAGTAACTTTTAAAGAAATCTTATATATAAACTAGACTTTAAAACACGATATTTTTATTCCAGTAAATGAAAGTAAAATCTTTTGTTTATAGTAAAAAACCATATTTTTCTTTTGGCTTTTTAAAATAATTTTCCTCTTATAAAAACTTTTCTTTCTTTTTCCTTCCTCAACTGTTTAACTCTTTCATTGGAGTCTTGTTGTCGTGCGATATTAGCCTCTGTCGCCGGAAACAAATGCCTCACACTATTTCCGAAATGTTTCTCCTTGTTAAGCTTGCACAACGCTGCGAGAGAAAAAAGAAGGAAAAAAAACGTTCCCCTCGGCTTGAAGTTTTTTACTATTTCTAAAGAATTCACACGAATTTCTATTTTAACATTTTTAAAAAACCTTGGACAGTGGTAAGTTGATGAATTCAAATTAGTTTTGTTAGAAGTTTTCTCTGGCAGTTTCAGTATTGATTTGATTTTTTTTTACATTCAGTGCGCAGTTTTTCCAATGATTTCCATGGGTAATGCATTTATTCCGTAAAGAAAGAACGGGAAAAAATATTTTCACTTTAAGGTTTGGTGGTTTTATACGATGCCTTTTCAATTATCAAATTATGCCTTTCCAACAAGTAAAAATGTCTGCAAATCTTCGATGATGTCTTTCTAATTAGATGTGTATGTCTTTTCAATCATTAAATGATGACTTTTCAAACAGTAAATGTACTTTTCTAAAAAATTTCCCTCCCTGATTAAAGTCAGCGATCGGCAAAAAGTTTTACACTCGCTGATGGTAAAATAGTGGTATGATGGAAAAGCTGATATCTTAAATATTAAAGTGCAAATTTTTCATATCAAATTACTAAGCCTATTAACGTTAATTTAAATTAACGTTATTCTTGTTTCGTTTACACTAGAATCATGTGCTGCAAGAACTTGGGCGATATGTTTGTCGAATGAAGGCGAACAGTGGAACATGCCGATATTGTTTAGTGCTGTCCTCTTGTCTCAAACATTCTACTTGTTCCAAACATTTGGATAAAATCATTCCAAACATTCTCTATCTAATTCAAGTCTGGTGATATGGCTGGCCTTCTAAATCTGGAATTTGAATAATATCACATTCCAGATTGGTCTATGCTTTCACACACTGTCGTCCACTAGAGTACAATCAGGATCAACCGAATCCTTATATTTCGCCAAAAACACATCTCTACACCAAACCAGCAACTCTTTCAAAAATGTAGGGGGCCATTTAAACTTTGTAGTCCATAAGACTTTTGCTTCTATAGTGGACGACTTCATAGGCATTGGAGATCAGGTTGCGTGATATTCTTTGATATTTTGGTATGGTGAGGACCAGGAATCCTTTATCTTCTAGAAATGCACCATTATGTAAGCAAAAGCTTGATCTTCTCAAAAGGTCTCATTCTTAATGGTTAATTTAAACAAATAAGTTCAAATAAAAATAATAATACCGAAGCATCCTGTTTAATGGCCGCATGACCATCCAAAATAATCACTGTTTTCCTTTAACCAAAGATATGCAATAATGTTGCATATCTTTGGTAACATGTTGCATATCTTTGCTACTCTAGGATGAATCTGTTCTCTAGGTTTAATCGGTTCAATCTGTTCTGTAGGTTTGATCGATTCAATCTGTTCTTTAGATTCAGTTGGTTAAACCTGCTGCCTAGATTCAATCTATTCATTCTGTTCTTTTAGGTTCAGTTAATTCAATCTGCTCTCTAGTTTCAATCATTAAACTGTTGTCTAGGTTCGGTGTTCGCTTTTTTAGAGATTCAATCGTTTCTGATTTCATTTTAATAAACATCATTGCGACAAATAGATCTCATCATGTCGGAGATTTTCCGGAACGTCTAGTTGCCAGAGGTGCTAGAGATCAGGCTAGCACGTCTAGTCTGATCTCTAGATCTCGACCGGATTCTTGGTACAACATATTAACAAAATAAAAAGACAACGAAAGTTTCATTCACGAACTATTGAAAGGAATTTAATTTAGAAGTAAGCTATAATAAACTGGTTTACATTACATTTTAGTTTAATTGCATTTAACGCGGAAAAAAGGAAGAGAAAACACACACAAAAACTTTTATTTTTTGTTTATTTAAAGATGGAATTTTAAGAAAGGCTTTACTTTTCAAAGAGTTATATGTACAATAAATAAGTAAAAAAAAGGAACATTCTAAAATCTCACTTTAGTTTGATGAAAGAACCACTGGTTATTATATATATATTTTAAGAAAAGTATCGAAGGTATAGTTGCTCACAAATACTTCAAAAACTCTCTAATAGGATTACGCTTTACAAAATAAACTTGAAACTGTATAACCATACAATTCTTACTATCTCAACTTAATCCGTAGCTCGGCTTTCAATAGAAAGTTTACTAAATTCATATAATAGTTTTTCAGAAGTAAAAGTAATGAAACGTTATAGAAAACTCCGTCAAATAATTATCCTCTCCTTTTATCTTTTGATTAACAAGATCTAATGCAATCGGTCCAGAAATTTACTATTTTAGCATTACCAACAAATAGCTTGTATTTCGTGTCCCTTTCTTTTTATTATAAATCCATTTTGTGTGAACTAGTTATTTAAATCAATTAATAGTTCATAAATTCCAGCAAAAGAATTTCTCAAAATTGAGCAAAAATTCATCAAAATAGCTCCGAAACAAATAGTAATTAAATTTTAAACAATGTATTCAAAATTGGATCAGTATTTTCTGATTTTTTAGCAAAAAGCATTGCCTTTTAAAAGTGATGTGATTGGGGATTGAGTGAGAAGGATATTCTTTGGCTGCAGGCAGGATTCGAACCAAGGACTTCTGGGCTCGTCGTAGGATGTTCTAACCTCCATAATTGTTCACCGCACCTAGGAGAGAGCTGGAAAACTTTATATAATAGCCACCGCAATGACATATCATGACATACTTACTTCCAATTTTAATGTTACAAAAGGTTGCAATTTGAAAAATATGGTCCCAATGGCTTAGTCAGGTGATTCTATAACCGTCGTTGAACAGCTGACCCAATTTTATGGGTTTGCATACTAATGTTCAACTTCGTAGCCTTGTAATTTTGAACCCAATACAGAAGACAAGGGAACTCCTGGATCGAGTGGTGGGAGTAATTTGCCTCCGTGAAGGACTTTTTGATGGAGCTAATCCGCATTTGCGTTACATGGAGAGGAAGACTACGAGAACCTCCCATGGTTAGCCTCACGGCAAGGGGACTCTGACCCGTGATCCGTCTACCACTGAAGATATTTCACGTCAGTACTGTGGTCGGTGCAAGCCGGATGCGGAATTCGTATCGACTGGGATTCGAA